AGAATAAATGTATGGCTGAACAGAACAGTGTTGGAAGGAACTTTGGAAGTCTTCTAGTCCAACCCCCCCTCCTCAAGCAAGAGACCCTATTCCATTTCAGACAAACGGCTATCTAATAATCTCTTTTTTAAAAACCTCCAATGGTGGAACACCTACAATTTCTGGAGGCAAGCCCTTCTGCTGATTAAGGGTCAGCTGGCCTCCATGTTGAGAAAGAAGTTAAGGGCAAATAATTTTCCAGATGTTCTCTTATCAATTTGGACTTCCAACCACATTTCCCAAATAGATTCTAAAAATTTCCCAGGATTTCCTAGCATTTCCAAGCAACCTGAGTTCTTTTTGAGATCCTGGCACTCTGTCCAATGAAACCCAGATGGATGGAATATGGCCTCCTTATTTGATTCCTGGTAATGAAGGAAAAACCTTCTGCACATGTTCACTCAGGTGTCTATTTCACAGGCTCTATGTGGGGCTCCCCAATATTAAAACTAGATGCCGCACATGTCTCAGGATGTCTGAATTCCAGAAACTGCTGTTATTTTACAAAAATAACAGCAAAAGGTTACTTTTTCCTTACAAAAAGTGCTGCAAGAAACCAGTACTTTAAAAGGTGATAGGTTTGTCACATCTCTCGGAAAGTCATGTGTTGCATTTGGATGTTTGAAATCCTCCCCATGAGCTTTAAAACATGTCAGAATAAATACCTGTCTAAAGGTCATTTCAGGAGGAGAGGAAAAGGTTTTCAAGACTGACCTTATTCTGTTTGGGATATCATGAACACAGATTTGGTTTAGATTCCAAGAGCTTTCTGCTTCTTTGTATTTCACCAACATTTGCATAACTCAATGCAGTCTCAGTTCATTTGCAGGCTGCTTCTGTTATCCAGGAGTTATTCTTAGGATCAGTGAGAAAGGACTTGGGAAAGCTACTGAATGCCTAGAAAAAAAATATCAGGTTCTAGCTTAATGTTTCAAAGTAGACTAAACATAGACAAAGCATTTTAATCCTTGGCTTAAAATCATATTTTTTTTCCAAAGATTTTTTATTGTTTTTTGACATACAAACAAACAGACAAAACATAAAAACATCAGCTCCCCCATATTTATATACAAACAGTGAGTCGGTTGGTTCATCAGTTTTGTGCACTCATCTCATAGTCACCATTATAATTATTACCTTGTATAATAACAAGGCTTAAAATCATATTTTTACAGCACCTTATCTCTATTTCAAGTTCCTGTACAACAGAGAGCAAAAAAAAATATCAATGTACAAATATTTAAAAGTTAGTCTCTTTTAATAATTTAAACAATACAGTCAAAAGATGAAATGTACAGATAATGTGCATTTAAATGTAGTGATAGATCTCTGCCTTTTTTTTTGGTCGTTTTGACTTAAACTTAGCAACCATAAGAAACAGAAGTCATGACCCTAATCTGCTTGGGGTTTTTTTGGCTTTTAAAGAGTCAATGTTGACCCTGAGGAAGTTCCTCCACTTCGTTAGAGAGGAAGAAAATTAACCAATACAAAGCCCCACACATGGGACTTCAAGGTTAAAACTCAATCTCCCACTTTCTAACATACTCCATCTGCTCTGAGATAATAGAAAGCTTATTTTATTTCATCTATTCTTTAACCAACCAAATTCCTCCCAGGGGGAGGTGCACCATTCCTGGAGGTACTGCAATACCAGGCTGATGCTTGGAGTGGACGGAGCAAGCCCCTATTCCATCTCCCAGTTCCAAAAATCCATTTAATATGTAGTCCTCAAATAGAGGACATATCAGATATTAAACTGATAAGAACAGATACTACACTTGATCTTAGCCAAAAGGCCGAGAAGCGATACCTTCCTTGTTCAGCAGCCTCCTAGGGCATTCTTTCCAAGGAAACTTCAGATAACAATGAGCAAATTCCTTACGGAGCATATTCCTTATCACATCGGAATCAGGACTGCTTTGTAACATCATCAGATATATTCTGACAATGTGCCTATTTCTATTGTCCAAGTTAACAGCCTTCAATTGTGAAATTTAACTATTAAAATTATAAATTGTTAGCAACACTCATTTTCTGATTGCCTGTGTGCTTCTACTGACAGCTATTGGTGCAATATTTACATAAGCCTTCCCATTTCCCCCATCATGTTTTTGGAGCTGTTATTTCAGAACTTACCAGTAGAGACTTCAGTCCTACTCTGAAAGCTTCTTCTTCAATGAGCATTCTGAGACATGAAAGGAAAAGGCGCATGAGAATATGATAAATAAAAAAGAATGGCATAAAGACATTTCTTGCACAAAGCTTCCTGGATTTCACATCTGTCCAAAAATTTACCAACAAAGATAAATGTTTCAGAAGCTTCGCTTGCCGTTTCCTTCAAGTTTAATTTGAGCATGGATTATAGAAGCTTATTTTGAAAAATAATTGGTTATTTCTTAAACACGTGAGATCCTGTTATAAATTTACTTGCTCTGTTTCATATATATCAAAATGAATCAACAATGATTATTATGAGTAATAATGTTGAGATCCTATGGAAACACCAGATTCAGAATTGAAGAAACTATTTAGATAAGAAGCAAAATGTTTTCAAGGAAAAAAAAGAAAGAAAGTCCAATTGCCTTTTGGAAAAGAAGCTTTTGGACAATCATGACCTGGATGATTGAGAATCTCCATACACAACACCAAATTCAGTAATAAACAAAAATGTGTTAATTTGTTGCAATGGAAACAGAGAAACAGCTGTTTGTAGCATTTTTTTAAAAGGCGAGTAGACAGTTACATGTTGAATAACAATAATATTTTATGGCTCAATAGTTTGACTTCAATAGCTAACCATCCAAACATGTGACTCTGGGCGGCATTCATCATCAAACATAAAAACAATTAAAATAATACAAATTTATTACAAACTACATCACCAAACCATATACAGATAGCCTTTGACTTTCAGTCATTCATTTAGTGACTAATTTGTTTGAAGTTACAACAGCCACGAACGAAGTGACTTACAACCGATCCTCACACTTACAACCACCACAATCTTCCCCACAGTCATTTGATCAAAATTAGGGCATTTGGCAACCAGCGTGTATTTATGATGCATACAGCACGTCAATCACCTGCGATCTTCCCAGCTGGCTTCTGACAAACAAAGTCAACAAAGGAAGCCAGATTTGCTTAATAAGTGGAATGATTCGCTTAACAATTGCAGCAAAAAAATGTCCCAAAGGTACTTTTCTCACCATCCAGTCAGAGCTGAGAAAGCTTCTTGGATGAAGAAGCGAAATGTCTTTGAAGAAAAACCAGAATGTCCAGTTGCCTCTTAAAATATACCTTTGGGATAACCAGGACCTGGATGATTGAGAATCGCCAGACACGTAGCTAAAAAAGTTTGTAAAATCCGACACAACTCACTTAATAGCTACCTTGCTTAGCAACAGAAATTCTGGTCCTAACTGTGGTCTTAAGTGAAAGACTACTCTTATACCATCGAATCAATTAAATCACATCAGATCTCCAAATTGCATTTGATGCTTATGTCATTTTTCATGCACTGCCATTTTGGTTTTATTGTGGTTTGCTGCAGATGCCAGAGGGGCAGTATTTTAAGATAAAAACAGGGCAAAATAGCTTCTCTTCTGTAAAACAACCATTGCTCCCGATCGTATAAAAATGCCATCCTATTTTGTACTCATATTGGTACAGACGCATTATAAACAGGCAGTGCTTTGGTCGTAACCCTGTGACAATCTTGACTTTTTTTTAACATCTTCTGTAGACAATGATCCATGACAGCGGGACAGTAAATGAAAAAGGACAGTGGGAAGCAGATCCATGTTCCTGAATTATGGATTTGGCGATAGCTGCAAAGATTGCAGGAAAAGCTAATTAGCCCCAGACTCGGCAAAGGCAGAGAAAATGGATTAACAAACCAAGATTCACTTGATTCAGGCTTGGGGGTGCGGATGAGTGAAGATGGACTAAGGAAAAAGCAATTATGGGGGGGGAGGTTGAGGGAAGCCGTCCTTTGATGCTATGTAGGGCACTGCACGTCAGAACTAGTTTTTCCCCGTGCCATCACTCAGCTAAACAACTAATTCCCACAACACTGTCAAATTATCTAAAAAGGCAGTATTACCATCATTATTCTCACCTTCCTAATAACCTATCTCCTTATCTTCTTATGACTATAACTTCATTGTTTGTATCTTACAATTTATATTGTTTACTTAATATCTCAGCATGATTTATGTCACTGGTTTATTTAGTATCCAGGACTATCACTAAGTGTTGTATTTAATGTTTTATGATGAATGTATTTTTACAATGACTATGATAATAGCAATAGCACTTAGACTTACATAGCCCTCTCTAAGCAGTTTACAAAGTCAACCTATTACCCCCAACAATCTGGGGCCTCATTTTACCGACCTTGGAAGGATGGAAGGCTGAGTCAAACTGATCTATCACTATTGTTGTATGCACACTGAGAGCTTATGCACCAGAGACAAGTTCCTTGTGTCTAATCACACTTGGCCAATAAACAATTCAAAAAATTGTTTATTGATCATGTGACCCCGGGACGTTGCAACCATCATAAATGTGAGCCACTTGTCAAGCATCCAAATGCAAATCATGTGACCATGGCCGCAACAGTCGTTAAGCGTGAAACATGCTCATGTCACTTTTTTCAGTGCCCTTGTAGCCTCAGTCAATAAACGAACTGTTGCAACTCGAGAACTACCTGTATTTATCGTTTGAACATAATTGTTGCATTTTTTGTTGGTGGTGGTGCACAATGGCACCTCTGACACGCTTGTCAGGTAGACAAATTGTTGAGGTAAACAGGGAGATTCAAAACCCGAACGCCGATTGGATAGGAGTCGCGCCTATCAGTTAGAAAGGCGGGCTTAGCAGGGGCGGCTGCAGCCGCCGATTGGCTCGACGGTTTGAGCGGGAAAGGGGCGGCCGAAGCGAAGCCGGAAGAGAGGCGAAACGCGTGGGCCGCGCACGCGCCGCCATGGCAGGCAGCGACTGGGACCGGCGAGTGTTGCCCGTCTGCGTCGGGGCGGTGTTGGCGACCGCGCTGGTCGCGGAGGTGCTGGTGGTGCTGCTGCGATTCCGTCCTCCCGGAGACCCGTTCCCGTTCTGGCCCATCGCCTCGCTGCTTTTCCTGTTGACGAGTGCGCTGGAGAACGCCCGCCGATTCATCATGGCTTCGCCAAGCACGCGCGGCGTTATGCTGGCGGGGGCGGGGCAAGGATGGGAGTGAGTGGGCGGGGTTACCGACGCGGCGGGGACCAACGGGAAAGTGGTCGAGGGAGGGGCTTCTAAAAGTGGCGGGAAAAAAAGGCCCCGCTTGGAGTGTGTGGGGCGGGGGGGGAGAGACTACTTCAGTAATGACGGAATTAGATCTCTGAAAGGAAAATGGAGATGAAACAGTTTCTTTTAGAGGCAAGGGGGCACATGCTTAGAAACACGCTTTTTTCTCGTTGGGCTTCTTTTTCAAAACTTCAGAAAAAAGGGAAAACGTTTGGGAGAATATCAGCCTTTGTCAACATGGTGGAGGAGCTTTAAAGCAAATGATTCAACCTTTTAAGTTTGTTGAACTTAAGCCCTCGTGGTTCCTAGTTTTATGTGGTCCCTGCTCAAGGAGGAAGCCAGCTGGGGATTGACTAAAAGTGTAAAGGAAAGAAAGAATAATGGAAGGAGGAGGCATTATTTTCTATCAGTTCAGCCTACCTCACAGGGTTGTTGTGGGGAAAATAGCAGGAAGAAAGAGTAGTACTAAGTATGTCTGCCTCTTTAAGTTACTTATAAAATGATGAAAGGCAAGATAAATATCAAATAATTCATCAGGCATATAATAGTATTTGTGGACTGCAAACTTCAGACAGACCACTGGATGGCACCAAAGAGACATGAGGCTATTCTTTGCTGCCCTCTAGTGACTGCGTCGTTTATGTATTTATTAAATTTGTTTGCTGCCCTTGTTGCAAGGTGACGCCAGGCGGCATACAATATATAAAAGCAACAGTATCATAAAATATTTCAAATAAAAATACAAATTATAATTAGAAGATTGGGAAGAAGGAGCAGGATGTGCCAGAGTGAGGTGGGATCTTCTATAGGTCCAACCACCTCAAAAAAAATTTTCAAGAAGGATTTGGAATCCTAAAGGAAGACAAATGTACTCCCTGGGCCGCATCAATAAGGCTTTATTGACTTATTTGTTTATATCCTACCTTTACTTTTTTTATAAACAACTCAACATATTTAATGCTCCTTCCAATTTTCCACACAACAATTCTTTAAGTTGGTTGAGCTGAGAGACATACTCTAGTCTAAAGTCACTCAGCAGGCTTTATTGCTTAATGTAGAACTAGAATTGAACGTCATCTGGTAAATGACCCAAAGTCACTCATCTGACTTCCATGCCCAAGGCGGGACTAGATCTCACTGTCTCCTGGTGATTGACCAGGAGACAGTCACTCAGATGGCTTTCATGTCTAAGGTAGGACAAAACTAGAACTCAGTTGAAGTCTAAGGTGGAACTAGAACTCACTGTCTCCTGGTGATTAGCCAAAGGTCACTAGACAGCTTTCAAGCAGGACTAGAACTCACTGTCTCCTGGTGCTTGCTATAAGACACCCAGTCAATTCCATCTATTTTCCCACCCTCTCCTAATGCTTATTCTTTTGTCTCCTTCCAGCTACTGCTATTCCTGCCAGACCCATGTGCCACCCCGCTGCAGCCACTGCTTTACCTGCAACGTTTGTGTCCTGCGACGAGATCACCATTGCCTGCTGCTCGGCCAGTGTTTGGGCTATCAGAACTACCGTTACTTCCTCTGCCTGCTGCTATATGGGTCGGTTGCCTTGCTGTACAGCAGTTTGCTCAACGCTCACATGGTTTGGATGCTGCTTGAGGAAGGTGGCCTTGCCTACACAATCCTCCTGCTGTTGCTGCCTTGGCTGATGCTCCTGATGGGTAAGAACAAGGGAGAGCTTTTATTTATTTGTTTATTTAAAAGAAGACGGTGGACATTTTTCGGTATCTGGGTTCTCATCTTCAAGGCAATGGCATCATCAATGGCGAGGTGCGAACAAGGGTGAATGCAGCCTGGATGCCTCAGTGAGAACTCACTGGTATGCTATGAGACACACGAATGCCAACCTGTCTTAAATCTAAGATTTACAAGACCACCATCCGCCCTGTTGCAATGTATGGCACTGAATGCTGGGCAGCAAGAAAAGAACCGAAAACTATCTCCATGCCATGGAATTGAGAATGCTTTGTTGGACATCGGGCATTTCCCTTCTTGACCACATCACAAATGACACCATTTGACAACATTTTATAGAGAAGATGAGAGATGAGAGAAAGCCAGCTCAGTCCAGAGAGCAGGACCTTCCACTGTAGCTAAGACTGCCTACCAACTAGACTTTGTGGGCGTCCAAAACAGGGGCAAGATGCCATCAACAAAGTCATGCAAGCCGCGGGCCTACGCCCTGGAGATGCTACTGGCCATGCAAAGTGGGGTTCAATGATCACTTAACAATTGTTTCACTTAGCATCTTTGGCTCAAATGTGCTCGTAAGTCGAGGATTACCTGTAAAACAAAACAATAATAATAACTTACAATGAAAAGGTGGGTAGGAAAGGAGCAAGAACGCACACAAGGGCAGGTGGGTCTTGTCTTAATCATGGTTGGCTGGAGAAGTCTGGGAGTTGAAGTCTACAAGTCTTAAAGTTGCCAGAGTTGGACATGCCTGCTCTAGATGGAGCAGCTATACTTACACTTCACCTTCCTTCTCTTGCAGGGCAAGTCAGTTTCGTGACCTTTGTCTACGCTTTTGTGACGGACATCTGTGTTGTGGGCTTCTTGTTCTGCATCAGTTTCCTGCTATTCCACAGCTTGCTGGCCCTGCGTGGACAGACCACCAAAGAATGGTTCGAAGGAAATCGCCGGTACCACTTGGGTTGGCAAAACAACCTTCAACAAATCATGGGAAACCGGTGGCTGCTGGCCTTCCTCACGCCTTTCATCACTTCCCCTTTGCCAGGAGATGGAATCACTTTCCAAACTAGCGCTCTGAAAACAGAAGTGCTCTCCCGAACACATAGCTACTAAAGGTGAGTTCTGGGATTTTAAACAATTAGGCAGTGTGTGGCAATCAAAAAAATATGTCAAAGTGATCTGTTAAAACAAAAAGTGCAGAGTCGCCCTGTGGCAAGATGGACGGCAAACAAATTTGATCATAAATAAATTCGAGTCTTACTGGCTCAGGGTTTACTCATCCTTCCATCTTTCTGAGGTTGGTAAAATGAGGACCTGGATTGTTGGGGGCAAGAGGCTGACTCTGTAAATTTCTTAGGGCTGTAAAGCGCTGTGAAGCGGTATATCTTAAGTCCTATTTCTGTTGTTACTACTTAATAGCTGCAATGATTCACTTAAGAACTATGACAAGAAAGGTCAAAAAATGGGGAAATCATTTAACAGCTGTCTTGCTTAGCAACAAAAAAATTTTGGGCTCAGTTGTTGTAATTTGAGGACTACCTATAGTATTATAGTACTATATAGATATTATACATTATAGATCTGCAGAACATTTTGAAATGTTGAATTGCACCACATTATTAGTAGTCCTTGACTTACAACCACAATTGGAACCAGAATTTACATTGCTAAGCAAAATGGTTGTTAAGTGAGTTGCACATGATTTTACAACCTTTTTGGCCCCAGTTAAGCAAATCATTGTAGTTGTTATGTGAATCACATGGTCGTTAAGCAGATCTGGCTTTTATTGTTGGAATCTGGCTAGGAAGGTCTCAAATGCCAATCACATGACCCAAGGGCACTACAATTATTGTAGATCAGGGGTCCCCAACCTCTGGTCTGCTGACTTGACTCAGGACTGCAAAACCACACCTCCTCCGGTCCGTGGAAAAAGTCTCTCCATGGAGTTGGTCCCTGTTGCCCAAAAGATTGGGGGCATGACCGTGGGGATGCTATGAGGGTCATTATCATAAGTCATGTTTCTCCCTGCTGTTGCAACTTCGAACGGTCACCAAACAACTGGTTGTAAGTGGAGGACTATTTGTGTTCAAGTTTGCTTATGACGGATTCACTCTCTTCCAGAGTTTCCCCATCTGTATTTATGAGGAAAGTTGAGTTCCTTTCAGCGATGGTGCTCTTCATTCAAAAGCAGACAACTTGGACAAAAATTCTGAAGGTTTTGTCTTACATCATTGAAAGCTAAAAGCACTTTTGATCTTGGAACGGTGGTGATCGGTTGCTTCCCCCCACCATGGGACTTGCAGGGCTTTCGTTCCAGGGATCTGGAAAGGAGAAAATTGCTAACGGGGGCAAGAGAGGGGGACACTTGTGCTCAGCTAAATTGGTCTAAATGCAATGGTTAATACTGAACCATCTTTCTCCTGGTCCAAAGTACATTATATATTGTCTGTGTATTTTTTTTTTCTCCCTCTTATGTCTGCTGCTCTGAAAAATTGCACACCCCTTCTTTTCCCAGCTTGGGAAAAATGTGAAGCTAAAACCAAAAGAAAAACACTGGCTAGAAATGGATTCAGGGACCAAAATCCAAGTTTATAATGCTTTGCATCTCCGTTTTTTCCTCTCCTTGAAGCAATTATGAGGCTGGTTTTTTTTTTTCCTGAGCCATAAGATCATGCAGAAGTCAACAAATCTTATGTTGTGAAATATTAGGGCAGTGTTTTTCAACTGTGGCAACTTTAAGACAAGTGGACTTCAACTCCCAGAATTCCCCAGCCAGCTATGCTTTAAGAGGGAATGGGTTTCAACTTCCAAAATTAAATCATGCTGGGATTCTGGGAGATGAAATTCACCCCTGTTAAAATATCTTACCTGCGGAATTCTGGGAGTTGAAGTCCACCCATCTTAAAGTCACCAAGGTTGGGAGATACTGTGTCAGGCAGATGGTTAATTTTTTTTACCTGTTGTCATTCTGCCTGTTCCTTTTCCACATTTGGCACTGTTCCACCCAATATTGTCCACCTTAATGTCTGTCTGCTCTTTTCATATCCAAAATCACAAAATCCCTATAGATTTGCACTGTGAGAGACGCACAAAAGGTGTGGGCATGGGGGAACCCAACATTTGCTATATTTTTTTCTTTTTTTGTTAAATTTTATCCACTGCATTCTATGATTGTTGTTAATAATATTTTTTTAATGCTTTAATGTTTTTATGCTGTAAGCCACTCAGAGTTGTTGAATACAAGATGGGTGGCAAATAAATTTCCTAAATAAAGAATTTATACAAGTGGCCTTATTTAACTGAGCACTGATTGCACTGTAAACTTTTCAACCCAAAAAATAAAATATCTTCCCATTTCTTCAAGCCAGTGCAGATTATCATCAGTGGGGTTAATTTTAATATCAAGGTAATGCCCTGGCCCTTGGTTGTTGTGAACAGACTGAAGAAACTCAAAAGCAGCACTGTGCATGCCAGATGTCTGCCTCTCTTAGTAACATTGAATTACATTGGGCTTGGATAAAGGGTTAAAATTATATTTTTCATGAATTGTACAAGGAAGCATGAAGCAAATGGCTATTTTTCTGCTTTAACATTTCATGTAACTTCTTGAGAAGTTTAAAGAAATAAATGGGGGAAAATTAAATAGTAATGACATCCTTTTGTGATCTCTTTGTATTGTTTTAATTTGCATTGTAGTTGGTTGATTAGAGCAGGGGTCCTCAACCCCTGGGGTATGGACTAGTACAGTTCCAATCCATGGCCTGTTAGGAACTGGGCTCCACAACTGGATGTAAGTGGTGGGCAAGGAAGCAAAACCATCCCCTCCAGGTCCATGGAAAAATTGTCTTCCACGAAACTGGTCACTGGTGCCAAAAAGGTGAGGGACTGCTGGGTTAGAGGTCTCAAATTTGCAGCCTTTAGCCATACCATCTCTTTTTCCCACATTTTAACAATCATGCTTTGTCCGTGCTGATTTTGAAAATAAATTGCCTGTCAACTCAGAACCAAAAGCAAATATTAGTATTCTGGTTCATGGAAAATGCTGCCAGCTATGTGCCCAAATTTTAAATCCTCTTTTTCAAGATCCAGCTTTCATAATTATGACCATCATTAGACTTTAGGAATCGAGAGGGCAACATAGAATTTTCTGTATCTTTGAGACGTACACTTGGTTTGTAGTTTTGAAACCTAGATATAGCAGACCTAGGTTAGATGAGAATAAGACTGTTTTGTTTAGATCTAAGAGTCAAATTTGTTGTTTTATTTTTATCTATTAACTTTTTAAAACTCTCCATAAGAGGGGCTTTGTTTGCTGATTAGAGCAGTGCTTCTCTACTTCACCAACTTAAATCTGGGTAGACGCCAACAGCCATGCTGGCTGGGGAATTGTGGGAGTTGAAGTCCACACAGGTTTAAATTAACCCCAGCAACACTGGATTAGAGAAGGACTTATCACTTAACCACACCAAATATCCCACTGAGCTAAAACTTCTATTTGAGTCTCCTTTGGCTTCAGCTTCTATGAAGGGACTGTTGAAACACATCATACAAATAATAACATATTTCTTTCTTTTCTGGGGCTGAATTCAACACTGACATAGATCTGAGGTACAAGGCCCAGCTAGATTTCAAATCTTAGCAGTGGTGTTTCCATGCCAACGTCCAGCCTGTCCTGTGTCTTGCCTTTATTCCAGAACCCTCTGCTTTGGCTAGGCTTGTTCTGAAAGAGGACCAGTTGCTTCGGTAACCAGAGAGTAGCCAGGACTCTTCCATGTTGTCGTGGGCACCATGTTGAACCCTCATCGGCAGTCTGTGCTGACTAATGCCTGTATCAAGCCCTCAGTGGATCCCATCACCCGGACCCCTGGCACCATCTATGAACCAAAGGGGCAGGTCCGACTTTTGGGTCTGCTTTCAGAAAATACCCCATCGCAACAGGTAGCTTGGGTTGGCCTGGCACCACACCATTGACATGGGTTATGGGTTCATCCACTGCAGAAAACACTAATTCGTCTTAACTAACCAGCTAGAGGAGAAAAGCAGGCAGAGCCAAAGCGGGTGGTGGAGTAAAGCAAGTCATCAGTCTAGAATCGTTTTGTTTCCACAGTCTAAATCCAATTCCATTGTTCCTTATCTAGCACCGCTTTAGTACTAACATTATTTGACTAGATTCTTATACCTATGGTCCTGTTCCTTTATGCCTGACACTAGCAACAAAGATTAAGCTTTAGTGAGGGCAAGCAATAGCCAGAGCAGCCACTTGTCTGGAATGGTATAAGGTCTAAATTTGAGCATGGGGTTAGACTAGAAGACCACCAAGGCCCCTTCCAACTCTATTATTCTGTTATATCTTCCTAAGCATCTCCATTGAGAGCCGTCAAGTTCCCTCTTTTGCTTTTTTTCTCCATTAAGAATCTTATTAAATTTGTCCCCTGGTGACTGTGGGCAGCATAAACGTGAAACAAATAAATAAAAAATCATAAGATACAAATAAAAATAAGCATGAAGGGGAAAGTGAAAAAGGCGAAGAAAGGTGTAGGTGTAGGGAAAGAAAAAACAACATTAACTCCCAACCTCTTTCAGCAGATTAAAATACAGAATAAAATTGCAGCCCCCGCATTTTTACCAATTTAAACAAATACTGAATTTCTACAGCAACAAGCCATTCATCAGCAAACGTTAACGTCAAGAGTTCATTGTCTTTCTGTCTCGAACACAGAGTCCAGAAGCGGTTCCCAAGTCAAAACAAAGATGGATATGTTCTTTTCTCTAATTAAAGCAGCCATGCCATTTGTTGTCCATCAAGTGCCCTTAATGCATTTTACAGAAGCTTTTCATTAAAATATAAGACTCTTTAATAGAGACGCACTGATCTCAAGAGACTCTAGAAAAAGTGCAGAGAAGAGCAACCAGGAAGATGAGGGGACTGGAGACTAAAACATGAAGAACAGTTGCAGGAACTGGGCCTGGCTAGTCTAGTGAAGAGAAGGACCAGGATAGCAGTATTGGAGGGGCTGCCACAGAGAGGAGGAGGAGGGGGTCAAGCTATTTTCCAAAGCACCCAAAGGCCATCCAGTTATGGATGGAAACTGAACAAGGAGAGATTCAACCTGGAAATAAGGAGAAACTGACAGAACAATCAACCAATGGAACAGAAGTTGCCTTCGGAAGTTGCGGGAGAGTCATCACTTGAGACTTTCAAGAAGAGATTGGACTGCCATTTGTCAGAAATGTTGTAGGGTCTCCCACTTGGGCAGGGGGTTGGACTAGATGACCTACAAGGTCCCTTCCAACTCTGATTATTATCTGTTATCAAGCATTATCCTGATTAGTAGACCAATTATAAAAGTATTTTAGATAGTTGATCTGGTTAATGTCTGTGTTCATTCCTTCAATTTCTATGCTAACTACAGGCAGTCCCCGACATACAACAGTTCGTTTAGTGACCATTTGAAGTTTCAGTGGCACTGAAAAAAGTGACTTAGGACCGTATTTCACACTGATGACCATTACAGCATCCTCATGGTCACATGATTTACATTTGGAAGCTGTGGCAACTGGTTCATACTTATGACCGTTGCTGTGTCCCAAGATCATGCCATCCCCTCTAGCGACCTGACAAGCAAAGTCAACAGGGAAAACTAGATTCGCTTAACAACCGTGTTGCCAACTTAACAACTGCAGGGATTCGTTTAACCACTGTGGCAAGAAAAGTCATAAAATGGGGCAAACCTCACTTAACAAATGTCTCACTTGGCAGCGCCCAGTTTCAGCACCCTGAAGTCACTCTGAGACCTTCCCAGCTGGTGTGAGAAGCAGGTCAATGGTGAAACCGGCAGGGAAGGTTGCAGGTCACCATCATGTGATGTCTCACTTAACAACCATGGTGATTTGCCTAACGGCCATGGCAAAAAAGGGTCCTAAAATTGAATGAGGTCACATAGTGCCTCATTGAATGATGGCACCACTTAACAGCAAATTTTCTGGTCTCTCTTGTAGTTGTAAGTCAAGGACCACCCATAGAGGTAAAATTGATAATCAGAATAGAGCTGGAAGGGACCCTGAAGGTATCCTAATCTAACTCAAGCAGGAGAACCTATTCCATTCCAGATAGGTGACTGTTCAGCCTGTCCTTAAAAACCTCCGGTGATGAAGCACCCACAACTTCTAGTGGCAAGCAGTTCCACTGGTTAATTGTCCTCACTGTTAGGAAGTTTCTCCTTTAATTCCAGGTTGCTTCTCTCCTGGATTAGTTTCCATCCGTTGTTTCTTGTCTTGCCTTCAGATGCCTTGGAAAATAAGTTGACCTCCTCCTCTATGGGGCAGCCGCTCAGATACTGGAATACTGCTATCGTGTCTCCCCTGGTCCTTCTTTCCTCTTGAACAGCCAAACCCAATTCCTGCAACTGTTCCTCATATGTTTTAGTCTCCAGGCCTTTAATCATCTTAGTTGCTCTCTGCTGCACGTTTTCCCAAATCTCAACATCTTTTTTGTAGTACGGTGACCAAAACTGGATGCAGTATTCCAGCTTAAAAAATTGCTTAAGAGGAACAGCCTCTTTCTCTTTCCTTAGGAGGACTACCTGGATGCTGGCGATGGACTGCTTATCTGTATGAAACGCACCAAGAAAAAAGGCCTTCGTCCTTTCTTCAAGGGCTGCTGGGAATCCGAACAAGCCATCCCTGATGTCAGCGAAGCCTCAGATGTTGACCCCGATCAAGACGTAAACAAGTGAGCTTGACGAAGGCTTTCTCTGGTTTTAATCCTGGGCAAGGCCCCTTTTGGAAATTAAGTTGCTATCCGTGACCGTAGGACTGTGGGTCCTTCAGAGATTTAAAGCCAGTTGCCAGGGCAGGTTGCGTAGATCTGTGAAAAAAGCTCAAGTGTGTGTTACAGGTCTGTGTAATGTGTATATGGGAAAGATACTGGGAAGAGAACAGATAAGAGACAGCATAGCCTTCAGCTGCATAATGGATGGGTAAAGAAGCTCAATAAGGAACCCTCCCTAGTTTCTCAGACTGTAAGGGAGCGGGGCAGGATCTAGATCTGTGGAAAGTTCAGACTGTGTGCAGGGAGACAGAGCAAAGAAACACTACTTAGGAGCAGTCAGCTAAGAGGCAGCATAGCCCTCAACTGCACAGTGGATTGAGAGTCTCAGGAGGGACCCTCCCTAGTTTCTCAGGCTGTAAAGGGCTAGGGAGAATATAGATCTATGGACAAGAATGTGAGCAAGTACCGTATTTCCCCATGTATAAGCACCCCCTTTGTATAAGCCACCCCCCCCAATTTTTGGACTGTGAAGTTTTGAAAAAAATATTTTATTAGAGAAACAAGTTATGAAGAAAGAAAATTTACAAAGAAACAAAATTCGACGTCTAGATCTACAACTTCGGTCATGACGCCGAAAGCGGTGCGGGCGACGCTAGCAATCTACGCATCGGAACGAGAGTAGGAACGAAGCATTCAGGCCGATGCCTAGTGTATGCATTTCTATCACGTACTCGCACTCGTAATCGTATCATCACGTACAATTTTTACAAAAAAGTATAGCATACTGCTGGAAAACCAGTTTATTCCTACTTTATTATTTTATGCATTTTTCACGTATAAAAAGTGTACCTGCTTTGTATATGCCACCCCCCTACTTTTTGGGCTTGAAAATTTTGGAAAAAAGGGGTGGCTTATACATGGGGAAATACGGTATGTGTAATGGTATGTGAAAAGACCTTGGGAGTTGGAGTGAAGAGACCTGTAATGATCAGAAAAGAGAGCATAGCTCTCAGCTATGTTGCAGACAGGGCAAGAGGTTCAGAAGGGACCCTCCCTAGTTTCTCAGGCTGTAAGGGGATGGGGAGGAGAATCTAGATCTATGGAAAGAGTTCAACCTTATCAGACTGTGCAACGATATATGGGGAACACCTTGGGAGAGGAAACAAAGAGATACTGCCCAGGAATGGTCAGATAAGAGGCAGTATAATGCTCGACTGGTAGGACAAGAGGCTCAGAACAGACTCTCCCTAGTTTCTCAGTCAGTAAAGGAGATGGTGGGTATGGTATGTGGGGAAGACCTTGGCAGACAGGGCAAAGAGATGCTGCCAAGGGAACAGGCAGATAAGAGAGAGCATAGCCCTCGGCTGCATAATGGATGTAAAAAGAGGCTTGGATGGGACCCTCCCTAGTTTCTCAGGCTGTAAATTGGGGGAGAATATAGATCTGTGGACAAGAATGTGAGCAAGTATGTGTAATGGTATGTGAGAAGACCTTGGGAGACAGAGTGAAGAGACCTGTCCAGTAATGGTCAGAAAAGAGAGCAAAGCTCTCAGCTATGTAACAGACAAGAGGGCAAGAGGTTCAGAAGGGACCCTCCCTAGTTTCTCAGGCTGTGAAGGGAGAGGGGGAGAATCTAGATCTATGGAAAGAGTTCAACCTTATTAGACTGTGCAACGATATATGGGGAACACCTTGGGAGAGGAAGCAAAGAGATACTGCTCAGGAATGGTCAGATAAGAGGCAGTATAACACTCAACTGGTAGGACAAGAGGCTCAGAACAGACTCTCCCTAGTTTCTCAGTCAGTAAAGGAGATGGTGGGTATGGTATGTGGGGAAGGCCTCGGGAGACAGGCAGAGAGATGCTGCCAAGGGAATGGTGAGATAAAATGCAGCTGAGCCCTCAGCGGCGTAATGGATGCAGAAAGAGGTTCAGAAGGGACCCTCCCTAGTTTCTCAGGCTGTAAAGGGTGTGTGTGTGAGAGAATATAGATCTGTGGACAAGAATGTGAGCAAGTATGTGTAATGGTATGTGAGAAGACCTTGGGAGATAGAGTGAAGAGACCTGTCCAGTAATGGTCAGAAAAGAGAGCAAAGCTCTCAGCTATGTAACAGACAGGGCAAGAGGTTCAGAAGGGACCCTCCCTAGTTTCTCAGGCTGTAAAGGAGGCGGTGGGAGACTTGTACTTTCAGACTTGCAAGATTCTGTCAACATAGTTAATACAGTAGAATTAGCTTCCCTGTTTGTTTCTTATCTGGTTTACCCTGTGAGGTACACGGCCGGTGTGGAGGATCTGGGTCTGATTTTAGCTCCACTTCCCCCCCCAGGCAGCTGGAGCCTGCCCCTCAGGAGCAGACCAATGAACCTTCGCCTCCCGAAAACCCCAAAATATCCCCTCGCCAAGGTTCCTTCCCCTTTCATTGGATGTGGGAGAGTTTTTCCATCAAAGGCCAGACCATCTGCCAAGACCAGGTTTTGGATAAGACCAAGAAGCTGACCTTGCCACGAGCTGCGACTGCCCCAGCCCGGGAGACCCCTTACAACCCTGACACCATCTTGGGCTCCCCAGCTCCCAAAGAAAGCCACTGCTTGGGAGTCCACAAGTCTTCCAAAACTCCCGAGGTCCCTTGCAGCAGACCCCAGAGGTACTTGCCGCATATGGGCTTGGTTCCTAGAAGCTCTCTCCTGCCCCTCTTCTGGAAGATGGAGGCTCGCTCGGAAGCCCGGAAGAGACAGCTGCGCCAGGAACGTCGCCATTGGCTGCACCTCACCCAGCAGCTCCTGAACCTGGAAGGGCAGCGTGTCTCGCGAGAAAAACAACTCTCGCTCGAGGAGTTGGAAGAAAAACTCAGAGCAGAGATGCTCTGCTTAGCCACAGAGCCCGAAGAGCCTGGCCCTCAAAAGGAGAAAAGAAAATCCAAGAATCGCGGCCCAACTCCCAAGGAGGAGCTGACCTTCAAACCGGTCATTAATCAGAAGGTGCCCAACTTCAAGCATCTGCAAAAGCGCTTCCGAGAACAGCTGGAGCAGAAGAAAGAGCAAGGTGGGTGCAGGAGAGCCTCAGTGGCAGGCAGGGGTTTATGAGGGCCGCAGCAGGTGTGGAGAAGGGAGACCAGCAGCCAGGTGGATGATAGCAGGAGACTTAGAAGAGTGATAGAAGTCATGACATTATTTATCAACCAAGTGTGATTGGATACACAAAGAATTTGTTTCGGGTGCATAAGCTCTCGGTGCACATACAAACAACAAAGTGATAGGTCATGTACCATGTTGTAGATCATAATTATAATAATTAAATATAGGATATAACAAGTGATAAATCATAGATACCAATAGGAGAAAGTAGTAGGAAAGATGAGAAGATAAGAAAGATGAGAAGATAAGAAAGATGAGAAGGAAAATGAGCCACGTTGGCTCAGTGGTTATAATTCAGTACTGCAGGCTACTTCTGCTGACTGCTGGCTGTCTGCAATTTTGCAGTTCCAGTATCACCAGGCTCAAGGTGATTTGAGGACCTAGATTGTTGGGGGCAAGAGGCTGACTCTGTAAACTGCTTAGAGAGGGCTGGAAAGCACTGTGAAGTGGTATATAAGTCTGAATGCTATTGCTATAATATCAGTACAGCCCTACTACATGGGTAAATATCTTTAAGCCTAAGACAGTGCAATGGGAATTAGGTGTTTAGCAGAATAATGGCACTGGGGAGAAATTATCTAATTGTTTTGGCATGCAATGCCCTATAGCAGCATCCAGAGGGGAGAAGTTGAAACAGTTTACGTCCAGCATGTAAAGGGTCTGTAGATATTGTATTTTCTCAGCCCTCTTTCTGGTTCGGGCAGTGTACCGTTATATACTGCTTCATGGTGCTTTCCAGCCCTCTCTAAAGCGGTTTACAGAGTCAGCCTATGGCCCCCAACAATCTGGGTCCTCATTTTACTGACCTTGGAAGGCTGAGTCAACATCGAGCCTTTGAGGATCAAACTGCTGGCAGTGGGCAGAGTTTACCCTGCAATACTGCATTCAAACCACTGCACCACCAGGACTCCTAGTGTACAAATAGCCCTCGACCTTAGGGGCACAACTGAACCCCAAATTCCCATTGCTGAGCAAGACAATTGTTGTTAAATGGGTTGCGCCCCATTTTACGACCTTTTTTTGCTGCCATTAAGTGAATTGGTTCAGTTGTTAAGCAACTCGTAGGGTCGTTGAGTGAATCTGGCTTTCCCTCATTCACCTTGTTTGTCAGGAGTCAGCTGGGAAGTTTACAAGTCCTGTGACCCCCCCCCCCCGGGACATTGCAATCGTCATAAATACATGCCAATGGTCAAGCGACCGGATTCTGATCACAGGACCAGGGGAAATGCTGCATTATTCTACGTTAAGTGTGAAAAACGGCCATAAGCCACTTTCTTCCGTGCCGTTGTAACGTCAAAGAGTCGCTAAGTGAGCGGTTGTAGGTCGAGGACTGCCTGTACGTCTGTTTTCCCTAACCTTTCCAGGAAAACTGACCGTCTGCAAGCCGTTCCACCTTCATTCCAGTAGTTCTCAGCCTCTTTCGGAAATCGAGGAAAAGAGAGACCAGGAAGATTTATTTCAAAACCTCCGGCGACTTTGGAGCCTACACTGGAGGGCTCAGTCTTGTCCTGATTTTGAACCGTCATTGGGTGCTCAAGTGATGCCCACCAAGACATCTGATAAAAGGCAGGAAGCTAACAGGTATGCGTGCAGGTTGCTTTCAGTGTCTCCCCCCCCCCCCCCCCACAAAAAAATTTCTGGGGTTTTCAACAGTGGTGAATTTTTATAGCTCGGGTGTAGGATGAGGGCGAAGGTTTGTTCTCCGAACTTGTGTGTTGGTTTCAGAGGTGGTATTCAGCTGGTTCTGACCGGTTCTACAGAACCAGTAGCAGAAATTTTGTGTGATGACCCAGGATGGGATACAAAAACAACGAAGTCACAAAAACAGGTGAAGTCCCTTTAATTCCTTCAAGTTGGCTTCAAAGGTCCAATTATCATTGACTGGAGAAAAAACTCCCCCACAAACAGTTGTGAAAAGGAAGAATTTCTGTTCAAACTCAGAATACACATAAATTATAAATAGAAAAAAACAACACAAACCACACTGAAGAATTAATGAGACAAATCAGGATAAGGGCTTGAAGGTGTCCACAGATATCGAAATACACACACTGGGAAGGATACCAGAACTCAGATAAGATCTGACAGACTAGAAATATTTTCATACTTTGCTTCCAGCACTGGGTCATGCGCAGTTTGTCCTTTTAAACAGTCCTCACAACAGCAGCCCATGAAGGGGATCAAGGCCCTTTCCTCCCCCTTAGACCATGCCATTCACATTTCTCCCTTATCCACTCCTCCCTGCGTGCCTAAGATGAAGAGGGGATGGGCCTGGGTCTTCCTCTGAATGCCCAGCCGGCCTGTGCCCTTCCCCAATTTACTCCACAACCACCGGAGCCACACTCCCACTCCCTTTCTGCTTTTCCTCCTCTCCCTCAGAGTCAGATTCTAACAGGGGCATAACATTTTGAGTAGTTGGGAGAACCAGCGAATCCCACCTCTGACTGGCCCTGCCCCCATCTATTCTCTGCCTCCCATTGAGTCCCAGCTGATCGTCTGGGTCTTCTTTGGTTGCCCTGCACAGAGGAACTGGAAAGCAGGTTAGTGGGGTGGGAGGGAATGGGATTTTGCAGTATCCTTCCCCTGCAACGCCCACCAAGCCATGCCCACAGAACTGGTAGTAAAAATATTTTAAATCCCAACACTGGTTGGTTTCCGAGAGTTTCGTTAGCGGGTTAGGCAACATCTTCAGCGGACTTTAGGATCCATCACAAGACTCCCTGATGACTCACAGCTGACCCCCTCACATCACTTGACACACCCACAAGTTGGAAAAACACCGACACTGACACCCCCTAAACTCCGCTGAAGACATTACCTAGCCTGGTAATGAAACGTTTGGAAAGCAACCCACGCGCTCGGAGAACGAACCTTCGCCCTCAATCATTGGGGTATATCAGACGAATAAAAATACATCCAAATTACAAACTTGCCAACTTGTCAGCTGAAGAACTTACGTAGAAATTGTTTCTACCAGGAACCGAAAAACTAAAATAAAGATTTTTGCCTTGCAATTCAAATGATTGAACAAACTTCAGCAGTTGGGTTAACCCAAGAGACTCCGCTTTAGTGAATCACGAGTCAGCTTGTTTGGGAAACTCAGGCACTGTCTGGGTAATGGTTAGCTATAATAGGTAGTCCTCAACTTACAACCACAAGTAAGCCCAGCATTTCTGTTGCTAAGCGAGACATTTGTTAAGCCCCATTTTATGACACAATGGTTAGGTGAATCAGCTGGCTTTCATGGCTAAAGCAAACTAGAACTCACAGTCACCTGAGGATTGGTCCAAAATTTCCCATCTGGCTTTCATGGCTAAAGTGGGACTTGAATTCATGGTCTCCCACTGTGTAGTCTAGTGCCTTAACCACGAGACCAAACCATCTCGTTTGCAAAGTGAATTGTCGTAAGTCGAGGACAACCTGTGCCAGCATCTCCTGTCTTTGTTCCGTTCTTGGAGCATTGCCTCATGGCCTCAACTCCAATTCTTTGTCTAGATTGCTTTTGATGGAATGGGAACGTCGAGAGCAGCAGGAGAAACACCGGGCTGAGCTGCGCAGATTGAAGGCGCAGCACATGCAGCGGGAAGTGGCCAAATGCTTGGCTACTTACAGGAATAAAGGATACTCTTCCACATCAGTCCAGAGAAGGCGGGAAGAACTCAGGTGAGTATCTCCACTCCCACCCCACCCCCGTCTCCAAGGCCATCTTGAGTTGCGCCACTTACTTATTTATGTACCAGGATGGGAGACACCAGGAGATCCCAGCAAGGAAACTAGGATGAGAAGTTGAAAAATTAGTTCAGATCCAAAATAAGAGTGTCCAGCCGTTTGCCAAAAACCTATAGGAATAGCTTTGTAAAGTTAAGGAAAGAAAGAAAGAAACTTAGTCTGGCAGAGAAATGATGCTCTTCTAACCTGGATTGGCCGCTTCATACATCACCCTGAAGACAAAAACATATTTTTAAAGTGTTTATTAATTTACTGGATTTATATAGCCTCCTGTCTCACGTACAAAACTCTGAGCAGCTTGCAATAAAATTTATAAATAACATTGTTGGTTTAGTGGCAGTTGATGTTATGTACTTATAGGTAGCCCTTGACTTAACCCCTTGTCTTAGTCTTAGGGCATTAGGTAGCCCTTGACATAAGCCATTGGTTAACATTTGTTTAACAAAAATTACAACGGCACTCAAAAAGTAACCATACCATTCCTCGTACCTATAACCGTCACAGCATCCTCATGGCCAGGCGCTTGGCAACCAGCATGTATTTTTGATGGCAGCAACATTCCAGGGTCATGAGAACACTCTCTGTGTCCTTCCCAGCCAGCTTCGATAATTGGAAAAGCTGGATTTGCTTAATGACCACGCGATTCACATGTATACCCAACCTGTATATTTATCTATCGGATTTAGACAGCCACACATTTCACAAAATACGACTTTAGAGTTATTTATTAAATTTATAGGCCGAGGCCGCTTATCGTGCATTCTCACGACTTTTTTTTCTTTTCTTTATCTCCTTGTTTAAAGCAACCAAACACAGTTAATTGATGAAGTTGCTCTTGGATGCTTAATCTATCTATATATATAAAAGCGAAATACCACTCACGCAACATCACAAAATCTCCAGAACCGTAAAGCCCACAAACTTGAAATCTGGCACGTAGGTTCCTCTTGGCTTCTAGGTGCTCACTAAGAAAGGATTTTCCAAAATGACCATCAGAGCATTATATATTATTATTATTATTATTATTATTATTATTATTATTATTGTTGTTGTTGTTGTTGTTGTTGTTGTTGTTGTTGTTGTAATAATAATAATATTAATAATAATAATATTAACACGCTCTGATGCTAAGGAGTTCTACTCCCCCTCCCCACCTGAAAAGAAATCTCTTCCAAATGCAAAACACAAGCAGAGGAGAGGAGTTTCAGTTTTAGTTTCACAGCAACCAAGCAGCTTTAGTACAGAACAGTTGAGCTAAGCCACGCCCAGGCTCCTTGCTGTCTCCTTCTTGCTCACACAGCAAATACTCTTTCAGTTTCCAAACAGCCCTCAACTCTCTCACACACTGACAGGACGCTAGCCAGATGAATACCAATGGATGCTGGTAAGCAGAGGCAGAATGTTTTTTTCCTTATTTTCCTCCCTCAAAACTTACCCAATAGTATCGTAGCGAAGCACAGGTATTGAGCTAGTAAATGAATAATTGGATCTAGATTAATGTGGCTGGGGTGCAAACATCTCACTGCTCCTGGCTTGATGCTGCATGCAAAACCTTTTCAGACCATTCTTTCCATGTCCTGTGTAGGAGGCAAGAGAAACAGCGCATGGAGGAATACATGATCCAGTTGCAGGAGATCCAGGATCGTGTAGACAGCCGCCCGTATCTGTTTGAGAGAGTCATGCAGGTGTGTGGTTCAGGACCAGATTTTGTGGGTGCCAGCAGTGGAGTTATATACCCTCTTCAGCCCTACTTCACTGAGTAAAACCCTCTCAAGATGACAGTCCAGGGAGGATCTGTACCAGTAGAAGAGAATTTTTGTAGCTCGGGATTGTGAGCTGCGGGGCCGTGGATGTTCTCTGAGCTTGTTAGTTTTCCTGCAGAACGTTTCATTATCTGACTGGGTAACGCCATCAGTGCGAAGGAATGAGGGGTTGACTCCCTGTTTTTATATACACTAGCTTGCATTGCCAGTGTTGACGGACATGTTGTTTTCTTCTAGGTAGGTTCTTCTAGGTAGAAGAAAACAGCATTTCCACCAAAATTGACAGGGCAAGCCACCGTGTATAAATAGAAAGTAAATCCCACTCCGTTTTAGCACTGATGATGTTACCTGGTTGGGTCATGGAACGTCTTCAGGAAAACAACCAAGCTCAGAGATCACCAAAGACACCTCCGTGGTCCTTCCCCCTCTCCTCCTCCTCCTCTTGACTCCATTCCCTTCAAATACTGCTGATGTTACCTAGTTGGATCATGAAACATTTGCAAGAAAATGGCCAAGCTCAGAGATCACCAAGGAGACCACAGTCGTCATTCTCCTCCGCCTCCTCCTCCCCCCCCCCCCCCTCCCCCCCCCCCCCCAACTCCATTCCCTTCTAACACTGGTGATGTTCCCTAGTTGGGAATTTTCTCTGCAAGAAAATCAGCCAAGCTCAGAGAGACTCCCCCTCTGGGTTCACACATCACACTCAGTTCTCAACCAGGTTGCTCACCTCTGGCAGCCACTGCAATGTTGCTGCAACGTCTTCCCTTTTGCAAGCCATTTTGGAAGAGTGCTCCCTATGTGCTTTCAAGCTTGCGAAAGCGGCTTCTAAAAGATCATCTAGCCATGCTATTAACATGGAGTTCTGCTCAGTCTTTTTGGTAACGCCGGTGCCTTGGGTTCACACATCCATCCAACCCTCTCTCTTCTTCTTCTTCTTCTTCTTCTTCTCCAGACAAATGCCCGCCAGGCAGTTGAGCGCCGTTTCTCCAAAGTGTTGGCCGCTCTGGGTATCGACGAAGAGATGCTGTGGAAGCATGCTGCTCGGCAGTCTTTAGGCAAATATGGCATCCAAGACACGTAAGGCTGCTAGAATGGAGGGGCGGGGTACAGCCCTGCGAGGTAGTCCAGACAACAAAAACACAACCAGGAGAACTTGCTCTATCTTTATTGTAGGGTTAAGGAACAGGGACTGGCAAGGCTGAAAGTATTTCAGCTTTTCCTCTTATTCTAAGGCAGGGGTCTCCAAACCTGGCAACTTTTCTTTTTCAAAATGCCTTTCCAATAAAGTATCTGTCCATTTTAAAGTTTTAGTTTTCCATATTTCCGAATATTTGCCTTTTCCTCCCCCCACCCCACCAGTCCTAATGTTTTTTCTGCTTGTATGACTGCTTCAAAAATAACAGTGAGTTCCCTTTTTTAGATAGGCTCTTGGGGTTGAGTTTAGTTGGAAAAGATTCTTCTCACCCTGTTTCACACACCATTCACTATCTCTGCTCCTGCACAGCACTTAAACGGACACGGCTGTCCCAACTTTGTGGTGACCATTTTGACCAGCGTCTTCCCTCCACTGTGGCATAGAGGGAGGGGGCTCTGATTTTCACAGGGGAGTTGCGTTCTCTCCCAGGACCACACGGAGCACCTCTCATTGGCTTCACCGCCCCTTCAGGGCGGTTTTCAGCTCTCTCCGGAGCCCACAAACACAGAGAAGCCAGCGCAGGAACAGAGGACTCTGTTCTCTGCTTCTGGTTCCGTTGCGATGTCAACCGGAAGTCCCTAAATCTGGCAACTTTTCTCATGTTCTTGCGGTATTTGTTTATATATGTGCTTCAAAGCGCTCAGCTTTTTAAAAAAGGAATGCAGGAATCTACAGGTTGTTGCCTGGAATCCTTTAAAACCCCATTCCCTAACCTTAACATTGCAAAGATATGTGCTCCCAGATTTCACAAACCAGCATGGCTAGCTAGGGAATTCTGGGAGCTGAAGTCCACAAGTCTTACAGTTGCCAAGTTAGGAGACCTCGGGAAAACTATAGAGGGTCCCTTCTGAAATACTTCCCACACCCTTTTTCCTTCCATGGGCCTAGATACCATTTAACTTTTCACCTTTTTACCACGTAAAAGGTATCTTGGCCCACAAAGAGAAAAGGGAAGCAGACAGGATGTTCAGTCTGTGTCTCTCCTTCCGGTCTCCCAAGGTCATTCCTACATAGCATTGATCAAACTCAGTTCCTACTCATGGAGCCAAGGAAAGGTGTGTTTTTCCCCTAGCGACCATGCCCCTAACTCTTTGACTGCCACACTAAAGCTTTCAATCCCGAATCAACCACTGGACTTAGGTCCTCCTTTCTCTAATACCTGGGAGCTCTAACTGGTGACATTTGTGTTTCCAGGTATCAGAGTACCGAGTCCTTAGAAGAGTTCCAAAACTCGATCTGAGAGGAAGATAGAATGGACAGAGGAAGCCATTTGGACCAGCAGCTCCCCTTGCCTCCTGGATCTGTAATCCTAGACCATCCCAAAATAAATCTAATGTTGAGAAGCAGAGGAACCCAGCCTGCCTTTGTTCACTCGTGCGTATCCCTGCAACCTGGTGGGGAGCAGCATTGCTAAGCCTGCGGACAGGCTGCCAGCAGCTGCATCCCTCGTTCCTAGGCCGGTTTTGGCCATAATGTTGTCTTGTAGCCACACACCTCTCCTGCACAAGCTGACTTGTCTTACTGTTAAGTGTTTGTTAATCGGGACAACCTGGTCTATCCAATTATGAGATGGAGCCTACTGTTAAATAGCACTTAGCAATAGCACTTAGACTTATACACCGCTTCACAGTGCTTTGCAGCCCTCTCTAAGCAATTTACAGGGTCAGCCTTTTACTCCCACAACAATCTGGGTCCTCATTTTACCTACCTCGGAAGGATGGAGTCAACCTGGAGCCTGGTGAGATTCGAACTGCCAAATTGCAGTCAGCCAGCAGTCAGTAGAAGTAGCCTGCAGTACTGCATTCTAACCACTGTGCCACCACAGCTCTAAATAGCTTGAAATAGATTTATACTAGTCTCCTTTTATTTCTTTGTGGGTAAAACATAAAATTCAACACAAAAATTGTCTTGCTGTTAGTGAACTAGTGTTAGCCTTGTGAGGTAAATCAGACAGGAATTACAACCAGTTGCTAATTCTACTTTACAGATACTTACAACAGATCATTTCATGACCATTCAAAGATACAGTGCCATGGAAACAAAGTGACTTTTATAACCATTTTTCACACTTAAGACCAGTGGTGGGCTGCAACCAGTTTAACCACCAGTTCTGTGAGCTCACGCCTGGTGTAGGGGTCTCTTGCTTGGGCAGTGGGGTTGGACTAGATGACTGACAAGGTCCTTTCCAAC